TATTGTATTTAAAGAAAATCTTACGCAGCGGAAAAAGCTAATTTCTGACTCTGTATATGTACAGAGGTTAAAAGACAGGAAAGTATTCCAGAAAAGTAACTTGTTTTATAGTAGAAATTTTCAACCATTCAGTAAACATCTTTTTTTTTAATTTTACAAGATCTAGGTACCCTTATCTTACWGATCCCCCACCTATCAGTTTTGTTATCAGAAAATGTTCTGTCACAGATGTTGTTACAAGGCCCTCATCGCTCCTCTTTATTGTACTGTTTGCCTGTTGCTGATCTGCAGAAGTGAGGCTCAGCTGTCCTCTGAATGAGATTATTTCATTACAATTAGGCTAATATCATTGTAATTGATGGAAGGCCCTCTACCCTGCTCTGTGCTATTGGTTTTAAGTGGCCCCGGATGGCCTTGCCTTGTCAGTGGCTTGTCTTCAATGTTTCATCTGGACTTACAGCTAAACTGTTGGCCGAGGCAGCAGAYAAGGCAACAGATTAACTGACTCACTCTTCTTCAACATAAAGCACAGTAAAACATTACGTAAAAACACATGCAAAGAGCTGCCTTATTGATTACAATAAACACAGTTATTATCTGCTTAACTGAATTAAGCTTTTTATGTTTTAGGACTTTTTCTTTAATCTATTCAAGCATTTGGCTTGTCCCTTCTGAACAGTAACATGATAAAAGGGACACAGAATAATGTATGCTGTTACTAGATAAAAAGTGTTGTTCTAAAGTGAAATGACATTGCTTTAATTGTTGCATACCAGGACTTTAGAGGTAACAATAAAAGGAAAGCAATTTAAAGAAAATTCAAATACTTTTAAACTTCTGGGTTTAATACATCAACAGTGAAATCATCTCATGCAAATTATCTTGTTCTCTGAAAGACAAATGATCCTGTCCACAGAAGCTAGAACTCAGGGTGGTCATAGTAACATCTGATGGAACGAGCAACCCTGAAGTAGTCAGATATAAACGATCAAACAGAGGGTGATCTTTTGCATGTAACCTTTCCTTTTAGTTCCTGCCTCACGATGATAACAACAAAAACATACCAAAAATTATCAATAAAACATCATCCAAAGACACAAAAAGGGAAAACTTTGACCAAATATTTTCATTAAATCAGGCATGCAATCAATTAAAGTAAACAACTCACAAGTCCCTTTTTTCTGGGTCACTTCAGTAGAAAAAAGAACTGAATATTAGTTACTTCATTATATATACAGGTGCTGGTCATAAAATTAGAATATCAAGAAAAAGTAGATTTATTTCAGTAATTCCATTTAAAAAGTGAAACTTGTATATTATATTCATACATTACA